TTCCCGCTCGTGCTCTCTGTCTCTCATTCTATCTCTCTCAAATAAATAAATAAAATCTTTAAAAAATAAAAAATAAAAAAATAAAAATAAAAAAATAATTAAAAAAAGAAAAAAGAAAAAGAAAATGGTCTCACTGAATTACAGCCGCAAGTTTAATTTCCCCTTCTGTACACTGGGGATATTGATACCTGCCTCTTTGAGATGTCCATGAATAAATGGAAAAAATGGATTTCTGGTTTAAGGTGGCAGAATAAAGGCTTTTGAATCCTTTCCTACTGGAAACCACCCAGGAAACAATAAGGAAAACACAAAGCAGAAGTATACTCCTATTCCAGATAAGGCAGGAGGCCTCTCTGCCCTTAAGCCACGCTACATGAGGACAGGACAGAAATGGGGAAATAGTATGTGGCCTTGCAGAGTGGAGAAGCTCGAACCAAAGTGCCTGCAGAGCGAGAAGGACAAGAACCAAGCAGATTCCATGGCAGAGCTCAGAAAGGCTCAGGGATTAGAGGTAACAGTTATCATGGAGGCAAGAGTGAGATGAGGAATATGATTGACCTAGAACCTCAGATTCCCAGCTCAGCCAGCACAGGCAAGCAATTAGCTGTCCCTTATTTAAAGACAAGAGATGTTGGGAGGAAATTGCTGGGTTAACTGAGCCAGAGAGACTCTGAATTTGGAAATATGATTCACAGAGGCTGGGATGAGGCTTGGGTCTGAGAACAGGTTCAGGTGAAAATTTGTATACTGAGCTATTCGGTGGACCACGGTCACCTCTATCTGGTCCCCAGAAGTGCATTCTCCTGCTCAGCTCCAGAAGGCAAGCAGCTAGACTTAGACTCCCTACATAGGAGACTGGAGAACCTTCTCTGGGGAAATTAAACCATCCTAGAGAAAAGGCCTGTAGATTCTCACATTTGTGGGCTTCCAGTAAAATTGAGGGTTGGCCATCTGGTCATCCCCCAGAGGAGCATGGCACCCAACGGACCCCCTTTCAAGTAGCCCTCAGTGCTCCATCTTCAATATGAAAGTGCAGCAAAAGATTACTAAACTTTTTATGGAAGCCTCTAACATGGAAGTTGGAATCCAAGATAACTGAGGGAGAAAGAACAGACTCAGAAGAAATGGCTAATGCAGTCAGCAGAAAAAGAAGAAAAAAAGCTTCGATGAGGATTGATCTCCTCAGAATTAAAAGATGATGTTTGCATCCATGAAAGAAGAACAACATGCTATTTGTAAAGGAGGGACAATTAGAGTAAGGAAGAGCTCTTTAGATAAAAAAAATATGATCACAGGATTTCTAAAAATCAGGAAATGAGTTGAAATGTAAAAAATGAAGAAACCTTCCAGAAAGCAAAAATAAAAAGACAGTGAAATGGGTGGCGGGAGAGAAGGAACAAGAAGAGTAAAGACATGCCTGGGAGGCTCATATTGAACAATTGGGAGTTCCAGAAAGAGATAATGGAGGGGAGGGTATTTTCAAAGAAATAATGAAATCCTTACTACATGAGAAAGACACCTACCAAAGCTCAGCTTGAAATTTCAGGACACCGAGGAAACAGAAGAAATTCCAAAAGCTCCCAATGAGGAAAAGTGATTCCAGACACAAAGTACTTGAATCAGAATGTCATGGGATACCGCTTGCGCAGCAACACGATACTGGAAGCCAATGCGTAATTCTGAGAAATTCCACTACAACTATTCCTCAGTGCAAGAACTGAATACAAATATCGACCGGCATATGAAATATTAGGAAATTTGCCTTCTGTTCTCAATTTACTGCCTCTCACCTCCCAATTCACTCTTCCGTGCCTGCTGGGCAGTAATGATGACCCAGATTCCTGAAGCATTGCTCCTTCACAGGGAGCACAATGTTAAGCTTCGTCAATAGAGGGCGCTGGAGGCACCTTGTAGGAGGAAAGAGGCTGCTTCTCTTCCGGGTTCTGGTGGCTGTGTTTTTGCTTTGTTTCTGGCTTCAGTTGCGCAGGTGAACAGTGACATGGCTGTGTGAGGACATCCGGTGCTCCTCTGCCCCAGTAACATCACAGTGACCCCACAACCCCCCACGACCCTGGCCCAGGCCCAGTGACTGTTTTCCTGTGGCCGGCACGGCTCACTCTGACTCTCCCTGGGATCCTGCCCATTGGCCACCGTTGCCTGCAGCCCAGAGATTTGTTTCCTGCAAGCCTCCTGAGACCAATACCGTCGTCTGCTCTGGCCCTCACACCTGCATGGGCGCCCCCATTGCCTCTGAGCATCACCCATCTGTGGCTCATCTGTACCGCGGAGGTTTGTTCCTGCTCGAGCAGTAACTGTGGACCAGCGTTGGCCTGGGCAGCCCAGGGAGCTTCTCCACCAGTGAGCTACCACCATACCTTCTCCGACAAGGTCTGGATCCCAAACTGGGGAAGGGTTCCCCCCTTCCAGGTTGTCCTCGTCTTGGGTGCTCTCTCCCAGCCTCAGGACACCCTGGAGTTCTCTAGAGTTACTCTAGAGTTACTCTCCTGTCATAGTGCAGTAACTTTTTATTTTGAGCTCCTACTTAAATTACTGTGTGGTTTCTGTCTCCTGATGGACCCAGACTGGTATGTCTTCCAGGCGCTTTTCCTTAGGAAGTTCCTTGAAGAGCGCCCCACCCAAACAAGGGAGCAAGCCAAGGATGTGGGAATAAAAGGGATCTAGGATAGAGGAATCCAGGGAAGGAGAAGGAAAAGGAAGGAGTCCAGCTATGCCACTGGCCGAGACAACAGCTCAGTCCAGGCTGGAACAAGAGGACTGAGGTCTCAGAAGAGCAGCTCTGGGGGAAAATAAAACTGTTGGATTCTCTGATCCATTTGGCCATGTGGAAAGTTGCACTGAAAGTGTTTCACACACTTACACACAAATGTTTTACAAAGCTTTTAGATGTTGTAGGAAGACTTAGCCAAATATTCAAAGAAAGCTAAGCAAATCTTTAAAAAACTGCAGCAAGTTATTAATGCAAGGAAAAACAAAAAGTTGTATGGGTAGGCATTAATCATAATAGTCTATTTTGCTCAGGAGTGAAGTATATGTACTCATAGTAACAAAAATGTTGAATATATTTCACTATATTAAAAAAGTAATATAATGATATGTGAGGAGTGGAAGGGGGAGAGTGTATGAGACCTAAAATCCTCATCTACCCAGATGGGAAGATAATTCTCAATCTTGAAAATAACCAAGACAGCAGAATTCTAGCCTGTTACTGGTGGCAAATACCAGAAGAAACAACTGGAAGCCTTGTTAGTGTCTGCCTCCAGAGAACAGAGTGCAGAGAGAGGGAAAAGGAGGGCTCCAAGGTGCTGTTTTCCTCTCTTTTAATACTATTTAGCCCTTTATACTATATGCATGCATTGCCCTGATAAACATATACAATAAGCTTTAGAAAAAAAAAAAAGAAAAAAAGAAATGAAATAATGCATGTGGACTACTTGGTGTTTAGTAGGTATTCAAAAATATGAGTTCTCTTTCTTCTTTTATTCTCTTAAATCTTTTTCCAATTTGACTTGCAATTTACAACAGCTCTGGTTGATGAGATCCCAGGTTGCTAGGTGTGGTGGGTAATGCTGGCCTTTGTGTTCTCCTGAGCTTTACCCATCCGGGCTGCAGACCTGGATCCCAGACCCAAGGCAGAGGAAGCAGGGAGACGTGGCCCACCTGTGGGGGTGGAGTTCGAGGGGCTTCCCTGGGTGGGAGGAAGGAGCATGTGAGCTCTGGCCACGGGAGAGGGGGAGAGTGCTCTGCCCATCCCGGATACCTTGCAGGTCTTAGCTCCAGTCCCTGGAGACCCTACAGATTCAGGGGATCCTTGTTGCTGGCTCAGGTCTGATGATTCCAAAGTGACACCAAAGAATCAAGTTCCAATTCTGATTAGAAATAGCAGATGTATAGTCATCCTCGTACAGGATAGTGAGGAGGAGTGGGATGTGTGGGTTCAAATTCTGGGTCTGCCACTTATAAGATGTGGGCTCAGGCAATCACTCAGCTTCTTTGTGCCTCAGGTTCCTCATTTATAAGATAATAGCTAATAGGACTATTGAGAGCATCAAAAGAGATAATACATGTAAAGTACTTAGAACCCTATGTGGCTGAGTAAGAGCTTGTCTTTGTCCATTCAGGCTGCTGTAACAGAATTACCACGGACTGAGCAGCTTGGAAACAATAGAAATTTATTCCCCACCGTTCTGGAGGCTGCAAGTGCAAGACCAAAGCACCAGCTGGTCTGGTGTCTGTTGAGAGCTCACTCCCTAGTTCATAGACACCCACCTCTCTATAACCTCACGTGGAAGAAGGGGCAGGGGAGCTTTTGCGAACCTCCTGTACAAGAGCACTGATTCATGAGAACTCCACTATCCTGACCTCATCACCCCCCAAAAGCCCCATTCCTGATACCATCCCATGGGGGATCAGGTTTCAATATATGACTTTGGGGGGTGGGGGGACGTAAACATCCAGTCCATAGCAGAGCTCCATTTTTAGAAGATGCGCTGTTACTGCTCACACGTTGATCCCGCACTCATTTATAGAGCGGCTACCACAAGTTACCACGGTGCTGAGCTCCAGAGACACCAGGATGATGAACACACTCTCGTCTTTCTGGACCGCACCTCCAGGGAGAAAGGCGACCACTTAGACAGGGGACAGTTGGGGAGCACAGGGGAAGGAGACTTTACCCAGGATGGGGCATGGAGCGTGCGATACTGTGATTTCTAAAAAGAAATATTATTTGGTCTCAGTCTCATTTCTGACACAGGGCTCCTAAAACTCTTGGAATTTCCTAAGTGATGAGAGCAGCCAAAGTGTCTTTTGTTATGTTAATGAGGTGGCTTTGGGACCCCACCTGAGGATGAGGGGGCTGATTGCCAGGGGAACCAACCTTATGATTTGAGGGTTGAAACTTTCAGTCCCATCCCTGACCTCTGGGGAGGGGAGAGGGGCTGGAGATGCCTCAATCACCAATGGCCAATGATTTAATTAATCATGTCTAGGTAATGAAGCCTCTTAGAAACCCCTAAGCAGAGGCCTCAGAGAACTTGCAGGTGGGCGAACACCGCCACACACCACAAGGGTGACATGCCCCAATTCCACGGGGACAAAAGCTCCTGTGACCTCTTCCTGCATATCTCTTCATCTGGCCGTTGATTCATATCCTTTAATAGCCTTTGTCACAAATCAATAATGTAGTAAGTAAACGGGTTTCCTGAGTTCCGTGAGCCACTCTAACAAATCAATTGAGGGGTCATGGGACCCTCTGACTTAAAGCCAGTTGGTCAGAAGCACAGGTAACGACCTAGTCTTGCAGTTGGCATCTGAGACGGAGGGCAGTCTTGTGGGACTGAGCTCTCACGCTGTGGGATGCTCTCTCCAGGCAGTGTCAGGATTGAGCTGAACTGTAGGACACTCAGCTGGTGTCCAAGCATTGCTTGTTGGTGTTGGGAATCCTCCTCCCAGCCCCCACACACACCTACATTGTAATTGGTGTCATTACCTTTGAAGAGAGACATGGTGAACCTGGGCCTCTTAGGAGGCTTTAAAACAACCACAACACAAGCAGAGTAAACCTCCCATAGGTTTACTGGAGCCATTCACCAGGGATGCATGTCTGGTTTGATGTAAACCCTGGGTGCTCAACTTTGCATAGTCCTCACTACTAGGGGCTGCTGGGTGAGAAAGCAGGCAGTGCTGATCTGAATCTTATGCTGTCCCCAGGGACTGAGGGGCCGGTTGAGAGAGTTTGGCCCCATCTTCTGTAAAACCTTAGCTCGGACCTCTTCATTCCCATTTCCCTTGGGATAAAAATGTCACCACCTGGAGTTCTCCGAGCCTTGCAGCAAGCACAAGAGGAAGAAATATTGGAGAGTCTGAAAAGGAGGAGACTCTTCTGTCTTATGAAATAAACCCAGCACAGTTTGACTGAGTTTCCCATGGGAGGAGTAAAAGGGATTCCCGTTTTTAGGGAGCAGTAGAGTCAAAGGTGCAAGTAAGCATCTAGAAGCATCACTGTGTTCAGTTAGCTCTCTGGGGTTTGGGGTAGGGGGGTGCAACTGGAGCCTCCTGCCTTTGGTGAAACCCCATTTCTCATTGTTCCCAGAGGCTGCATGGGGAGTGGAGAGCGCTTGGGCCCACGACCCTGCTGCCCAGGGTTGCAATCCTGCCCCCACCTTTACCTGTCTTCAGTCAGCTCACTTCCCTGCAGCTGGCTGGTAAAAAGAGGGAGGGAGATGATGCTTCCTTCATCTTTCCTGTGTGACCTTGGGAAAACTAGTTCATCTCCCCCAGCCTCAATTTCCTCATCTAAAAGATGGGCTGTGTCTTTTTTATTTATTTTTATTATTTATTTATTT